GAACCCGCTGCCTGGCCCCTCTGCCTCCTTTGCTCTCTCCAAGGGTCTGAAGAGGGTCTCACCTGCCTTTTCAGCTCCTGGGGGCTCCTGGCCGCATCATTTCAATCTTCACATGGCCCCACCTCCGTCCTCAAGTGCCCACTCTCGCGTGATCACGTGGCCCTACCCCTTGTTCAGGGCTCACTTCCGTTTGTTCACGTGGCCCCACCCCCTGTTCACGTACTTACAGCTGTTGACTTACGTTTAAGTTTTTAAAAATTAGCTCTCAAAAGAAATTTCAATCGTCGTACCGTTGATGTTTGGTCTGTTGACTAATTAGTTTGCCGACCACTGCCCTAGGAGGAGGGAAGCCGATGTCAGTAGTCATGCAGTTTCTTCCCAGTGCCGCCACCGGCTCTGATCTCAGCCTGGTGAGGCCTGGCCGCCACTAGAGCAGCAGTTAGGGGGGCAGCGGGTTTCCCTGAGGAGAAGTGAGCTGTCTCCTGAGGTGCCATCCACAGGATACAAAGCAGCTGTATTCAGAGGCGCCTACCTCCCGCCTACCTCCACACGGCCTTGTTCTCAGCAGAAACACAGCAGTTTATCAAGAGATAAACAGATCCAGACATTAATTATTCTGCCCCCCTCGGTCTCTTCCTCCCCCAGTGAGAGCTGCTCCACAGCGTGTAAGAGGCGCCCTTCACTCTTGGAGGTCCAGAGGAGGGTGGGGCAGGTGGCCGCGGAGATGTGCTGCCAGGTCTGGATTATGTAAACTGGGGAGTCACCAGCCGCCTCCTCCGAGGGCTTAGAGGGATCTGCAAGACTTGGGAACACTGTCACTCAACGTAAGAGGACATGACTATTTACTCCTGCGAGAGACCCGTGAAATTCTGCATTCACTGCCAAAAACGTCACCCTCTCCTTATCCCTGGTGCCTCCAAGAACAACCTTTCATGAAAGCCAGAGAGCAGAGGTAGCTAAGCAGCCAGAGAGAACCGCATGGACAATAACCGCATGGTCAGTGACTGACCTCATTCACCATTTCCTCCAGGTCTGTCTTCTGCCAGCTCCCTGCTGACCTTCTGCCCTCTGCCCTGCCCCTACCCTCAAAAGGAGAGTGAGTGGGTAGGCAATTCTTTTTTTTCTTTTTTTTAAAATATATTTTATCAATTTTTTTACAGAGAGGAAGAGAGAGGGATAGAGAGTTAGAAACATCCATCAGATCAGCTGCCTCCTGCACACCCCCTACTTGGGATGTGCCCACAACCAAAGTACATGCCCTTGACCGGAATTGAACCTGGGACCTTTCAGTCCGCAGGCCGACGCTCTATCCCCTGAGCCAAACCAGTTTCGGCAGGTTAGGCAATTCTTATTCTGAGCACATTAGGCCCATCTTTGTGTGGACTCTGGAGTTCCTTAGAGCAATCTTGGTTGGGGGGCGTGGCATTGCATTCCACGTGGATCAATGGATTGATTGGCAGACCAAGAAATCACAAGCTCTGGGTGTCGGATTAATTTAACTCACATGAACCGTGTGATTTGAGTCTGGGTGACATCCAAGATCTGCAACCAGGACGGGCCTGGGGAAGCAGGAAGAGAAGCGGGTCTTATGCAGTGGCCGGCAAACGGTGGCCCGGGGGTCAGGCCCCGCCCACCCCCTGTGTTTGCACAGCCTACAGAGCTCAGAATGGTTCTTACACTTTTCAGTGGTTGGAAACATCCAAAGAAGAGAATTTCCTAACTTGTAAAAATTAAATGAGATTCAGTTGCAGGGCCCATCAATGAAGGCTTATGGGACCACAGCCATGCCCATCCGTTTATGAATTTATTGTCTTTGCCTGGCTGCTCAGCTGTGACAGAGACCATATGGCTCCCAGAGCTGAACGTGTCTACCTTCTGGCTCTTTGCAGACCAAGTTCGCTTTTCCCTGCTGCCATTCATTTTTATGAGCGTGGTCTGGGGGAGGAGGTGAATGAAAAGGGAGCTTTCTGAGTGTTCCCTAATGTGCTTTACAGGGACGAGTCCACGTGATCCTCACAGCAGCCATGTGACTGAGAACTGTTATCCTTGTTTTCCACATGAGCTAAGGGAGAAGCACCCGGTCCGAAGGGAGCAGTGCTGGGATCTGCCCCCGGCACTGTCTCCATAGACCGCCGGGAACCAGGGCGCAGTGAGGATGACAGGGCGGGGCAGAAGCAGCGCCGAGGCAGGGAAAGGTCATGAACAGAATAAGACTCAGAAGCACAGAGCTGTTAAGAAAGAGCCTCTAGCCAGTGTGGCTCATGGATAGAGTGTCGACCTGAGGACTGAAGCGTCTCGGGTGTGATTCTGGTCAAGGGCATGTACCTTGGTGGCAGACACCTGGCCCTGGTCAGAGTGCATGCAGGAGGCAACCCATCGATGTCTCTCTCACATCCATGTTTCTCTAGCTGTCCCTCCCTCCTCCTCTAAAACTTTAATATCCTCGGGTGAGGATTTAAAAAAAAAAAAAATAGGAGCCTCCGGGTGGAGGGTGTTCTGTGGGGAAAGGGAGGGTGCTGGGAACGGTTGGTATGCACTGAGAGTGGGAGGAGCTGAGCCCAGAAACTACAGTTGGACTGGCTCCTTGGCGTGACAGCTCTGCCTGGCGGTGCCTAGAAAACAGGCTGCTGCCTTAACTGGTGTGGCTCAGCCTACAGATTGAAGGGTCTCAGGTTCGATTCCGGTCAAGGGCATGTACCTTGGTTGCAGGCATATCCTGTATATATATATATATATATATATATATATATATATATATATATATATATGAATTTTTTTATTTTATTTTAAAGAAAACAGGCTGCTGCTGGTGCCCAGCACACCTTCATGCAGTGGGGTCCAGTGAGGCTGGCTTGGGGTGGGGTGCAGATCATCCAGGTCAGTCCAAGTATGAAGAGCTTGCTTACTCACACTCGGTCTCTGGACGCTCCCTCTGGCACTGAGCCTGGCCTCCTCAGTGGTCATTTTCAGCTACACTGTCAGGCCTTCATCCTGGGGGCCTGGCAGGGCACCCAGAGCCTCCTCTGTGCCAAGTACTGAACTGGGCATTTATGTGTGACTGAAGGCACAATCTGTGGCTGAGGGCTTGGGGATCAAGGTCGGAGAACCACCTGAGTTTAAATGCTGGCTGTCACTTGCTCTGTGACCTGTTTTCTGTTTGCCGTCTGCAGGAGAGGACAGTAAGAGATCCACCCTCGCAGGTCATGCTGAGCGTCAGGCTCAGAGAATGGCAGCTCGTATGATGTCCCCCTTAGTCTTCACAGCCCATTTCACTGATGAGGTGACAGGCTCGGAAATTTGCCCAGGGTTGGCAGTGACCACATGGAGGAGCTGAACAGCCAAAGCTCAGGTTCTCTGCCCTGGACCATGGCAAGAGAAGGCATTCCACCTTAGTGTACCTATGTCCTGCACGGCTTTCCCCCGTCATGGTCTGACGGGCATGGCGTATGGAGGTGTGGAAGCTGGGGATATTGGGGCAAGCGGGGGCACCTCCACTTGCTGCTCAGGCCTCCAGATGAGTGCTGTGGAAGCAGCAGCTGCTTGCTTTGTCGTTCCACTCCTGTCGCTGTCCAGACACAACCCGGAGTCTCAGGTGAGGAGCAGGACCTACATGTCTCAGGCCGCTGGTTCAAGGCCAGGTTCTCTGCAGTGTGACCCGCTGGCAGAGCCTGTGGTGGCCACAAAGCTCCCTGCCCACAGCGGCTCAGCACTCCGGGGTGGCTCTTTTCTCCGATGCTCACACCAAACAGCCCAGGCCTCCATCCCACACAGACCACAGCCCGGCAATTTACCCAAGATTTCACGTAGGTGGTTTAGAGGGTTTTTTAAAAAAATCCAGTTCTGAGTGTGCCTTTAACCAGAACAGTGTGATTACTGATATTCATGTGAATCTAAGTCATCGTGGGCTTTGTTTGTCCCTCCTGGTCTGTTTTTCTCCTTTATCACTTTTTGTGCTTGTTTGGAGGTTAAATGCTGTTTCTGTTCGTTTAGGGGTTTCCCTCTTGCCTGAGGTTTCTCAAGATACCTGACTGCCGTGAAGTCAGCCTGTTCCCACTGATTCCTGCTCCCATTAACTCCCCGCTGTGTTCACTTCTTGCCTCTTGTTTGCTGTTCTTCCCTCTTCTCTTCATGCATTCACTACTGAGGCTGCAACCACCTTTTACTCACCCCACAGATGGCACAGGGTTGGGGTGGGGGGGACATTCACGTTGCTAAGCTTCTTAAGAATCCCTTGGCCAAGAGGATATTCAACCTGCACATTGTCCCTCCTTAGGTCCTAGCCAGTGCCCTCTAACTCTTAAGTGTTTTGTTTTTTTCATAATCTTTTGTTGTTGTTAATCCTTATCCCAGGGAATTTTTCCATTGATTTTTGGAGAGAGTGAAAGTGTTAGGGGAGAGACAGAGAGAAACATCATCATGTGAGACAGAGACATTAATTGGTTGCCTCCTGCATATGCCCCAATCAGGGCCAACCATCGAGCCTGCAACCTAAGTACATGCCCTTGACCAGAATCGAACCCAGGACCCTTCAGTCTACAGGCTAACGCTCTATCCACTGAGCCACACCAGTTAGAGCTAACTCCAGATCTTCTCTCCCAGAGTCCCACCCGCTGCCTCCCACCTTCCTACTTTGCCCAGGCTTTCCCCCTGGACTTCTCATTATCTGACCTAAATTCAATCTGCTTGCTTGTTAACTGTCTCCCACTGAGCTCCACCAGGGTCTCCTTTCACCTCCGTACCCTAGGGTCTGCGACTGGGCCTGGCACACAGCAATGAGGACAACAGGGACGAGGGTTTGCTGAACCAATGGGTGAAAGCTGGCAACCGTCACCTCAGTGGGAACCGTTACCTGTCAGTCCCAGTGCGACCGGTGCAATAAGAGGAAGATAGTTCTCTTGGGATTCCCCTCCCCACCCCGAGGTGCAGGGGCGTGCCCTGCCCACCCTCTGGGTCCCAAAGGCCCTCACAGCTGAAAAACCAGACTCGGGGAGCAGGGAGAGTAACGTACTAAGTTTTTTAATACAGTCTGATCAGATCAATTCACATCACGAGGTCCACCTGGGCTTGCTCACACGTGACACAACTGAGGTACATAATGTCCCCGCCTGCCAGCTCTCCTGTCTCCCTGTCTCCCCAATAGCACTAAACCCCCTACCTCCCTGACCAGACTGGCATTTTTTAAAATTTTGCATAAAACTATTTCTTCCATAGACTCCAAACAATCAACTAGCCAAGTTAATTATGGTACATCTAAACAAAGTTTAATACTAACCCTAACCTGTGACTGCGGTTTACAAAGAGCTCTGTATCACCTGGGATAGCTTTCAGTAGCAATTCACTACAACTGGTCCTAAAAAATAATAACAATAATAATAATAATTAGAGAATTAAAACCCAACAGCAAGTTGAATGGTTAAAATCACGTAAGAACTGTAATTTTGGGTGGGAGTGTCCTCAACAGCTAAGCTTGTCCTAGAAGCAAAATGCTAAGACTCCAAGCAGGGCTCCGAACATTCTGGGGCCCTCCGGGTCAAGGGTCAAGCTCAGGGGGGGCTCTTGGAGGACACTCGCCCTCTGGTCCATGGGATGCTGTAGGCTTCCAGCTTCCTTAAAGACAGTGGGGCGTCAGAGTTGTATATGTGGGTGGAGACCTACTGTGTTCTCCCTTAAGGGCTAGGAGATGGGGGAGTGAGGGGTTAGAGAAGTGGCAGGGGACCAGAATCACCGAGGTCCCAGAATGCCGTCAGCTGTGGGTTTGGGATGGGGGTCACTAAGAACTGAGCACCAGGAATTCCAGAGAAACTGGAACCCTTGTTGCCTTGAAGGCCCTTGATGGCCTATGTAGTGTTTCCTGCCCTTGCCCCATCCTGGGCCTCACAGACATGTCTGCAGAGTATCAGATGGGGATCTATCTAAAGACCACGGGGGTGGGCGGGTGGAGAGGGGATGGGACGATAAGGTGGGAGGGCGGGGTTTAAAAACGAATAAAAATCTCTCCGCTACAGAATCCAAAGACATCACTTCCCTCCGCATTCACAGCATTTCTCAGCAGTCCCCGGATGGACGGCCGCCTCCACAGGGACGTGGCCTCTGCCTCACTTCCCCTCTGGCCCCATGGGCTGCTGGTCAACCTCGGGATCTACTAGAGACGATGCGAACGCCGACTGCACAATCTGAAACCCGAAGGACTCGAGGAGAGACATGTTCTGCTGGGGAGAGAAAGGCGAGCCGAGGGCGGGGCCCAGGTCCCCCAGGGGGCCCCCGAGCGCCCGGACATGCACCTTCTGGATGTGTTTGTTCAAGTAGGACTTGGAACGGAAGAAGCTCCCGCACTCGGGGCAGGGGTACTTCTTCTCCCCGTCGGACTCCATCTTGTTTTTGGGGACCGCCATGTCGCAGGAGAAAGAGCCGTTGGTGTTCTGCTTCTCCGGAGTCTTCAGGTCGCTGGCATCCGAGAGGTCACCGTAGGAGTCGGAGCTCTCAATCGGATCCTGATGTGAGCATTTCTGGCCTTCTAGGAGAAAACAGAACACAGAGGCAGGATGAGGCCGGGCTCCAGAGAGGGCCCCGCCTGGAGGGGCTGGGAGGGACCAGCCACAGGCCTGTGGAGGGCGGTCGGCAGCCAGCAACGGTGCTGGCAGAACCCGCCGAGGACTGGCTGGTCAGCCTGGGGGTCTGACCACCTACGGGGCGAGACAGCAGGGCCCTGGGGCTGAGGACTCTTCATGCAGGTGCGTACGTATCGCGCATCACCATCTCAGCCTGCTCCAAGGAAGGTGGTTCAGAGAGGGGACCTCCACTGCTTCTCCCCAGAACAACACGAAGACCCCCAACTCCCAGGCCCTGACTTGGGTGCCTCTGAAGGAAAACGTCTGTTCTGATGATGCCCAAACAGGGGTGTCAGTGGCCTCACCTCTGCACCAGACTAGCTGCACCCTAGCCAGGCGGAACCAGAGCCGGGGATCCCCAAGTCAGCAGACACCAAGATGGTGGAGACAGAAGCCAGTCCTTTTCCCAGTGCTGCAAACACAAGCCTGCCCTCGCCGCCTGCCTTCTGCCAAAACCTCTCCTGGGCCGAGTGGCCAGAGCACAGAGATTAAAAACACCTTGGAACAACTCAGCCGGCAGGCTGGGCCCGCACAGAGCCCAGGACAAGCCGGACCGCCAGACACCCCTCACTGCTCTGCCCTGCCCGGCCCACAATGGAGTCCTCCACCGATCAGCAGCCTCCTGCCTGGGGTCAGAGAGCCATGCCGGGAAGGGAGGTCTGTGATGGGAGCGTGGAGCATGCCATCTCTGCCATCCGCCAAGCCCCTGGCCTCATCCCCAAAGCAACCACAGCTTAACAATACCACAAAACAACCTGAACCAACGAGTGAAGGTGGGGTGCAGGGAGCTCTACGCAAACCAAGCAAACCAACTCGGAGTCGGAGGCCATCAGGTAGGTCAATGCTCGCCATGCACCTCACGGACACAGCCAGAGGCCCTCTGGAAAGGGCGCTCCCAGCAACCAGCCACACACCTACGGAGGGGGAAGCCAGCCCTGGGCTCCCCCTGCCCAGCAGGACCAAAGGAGAAAGCATTCAGCTACAGCTCCGCACCACCCTTCCAGGGCCACAGGCGCCAGACAAGCCCGAAGTAACTCATCATGCAGGGCTCCTCCTCCTGCCCTCGGCCGGGGCATGTGGCAGGGCTCCAGACAGCAGGGGCTGGCCAGGAGGCGGGGGCTGGATCATGGCAGGGCCCTCCAGCCTCACTCACTGCCCTGGAGTGAGATACCCACTGTGACTCTGTCCTGGAGGTCACTGCCACTCGATCACTGAGCCTCCTCGAGGCGGCCAGCCAGCCGGCAGCCTTCCCGCCTCCCCGCACCCGGCCCAGCGCCCCCACAACACAGTCTGCGCAGAGAAGCAAAGTGCAGAGCAAGGGGTCGCTTGCCTTTGTTGCCATAGGTCCTGGCGCAGTGGAACGCTGCTCCCCCATTCGGTATGGGCTCCTGGTGCCTGGAGACCTGGGGAAGGGGAACACCGTGGTGGGTTTTAACATGGACCTTTAAGTAGGAGGCAGAGGAGAAACCTAAACAAGACAAAAGGAGATGAGATCCCGCGGCCAGCACCGAGACACCTCTCTGCTTCCCCCACGCGTCTCCTCCGGCCGCTCTGGCTAGCATCCCCAGGCCAGCTGCACCTAGAAGGGGCCCTCCTTGGCTCAAACACAGCTGCAACCACAGGAGCCCTCTGGCTCAGGAGCAAGGATGGCACTGTCCTCGAATCGCTTCCTCTGCAGAGCCCACTCCGCCAGGCTGCGGTGGAGGGCCCAGGCCAGCTGCCGGGACGGATGGGTGTCAGGTCAAAGACCAGACGCCTCTAGGCTTGCTTGGCACCTCAGTAAGGAGTGGTTTTCGTGGTCCCGCAGCCACGGGTCAGCTGCAAGGACCACAGCTAGAAACGGAGTCAGAAAGTCATCCGGGTTCCCGGGCCGCCAGCCAGCCAGCAGAACGCTCGCTAACACTTGTAAACGGTACCACCGATCAGATGGAGGGGAGATGAACTCCCAAAGGAATGCCTCCAGAGCAGCCCTGCTTCTATTTCTTAGAACATGTTCTAGATGCTACATTTTCACCTTCAGAATAACTGGACTTAGTAACCGCTTAGACGTTTTGATGAAAAAGAGGATGTCACATTGAAGAGTGTAGCCATCTCTTATTGATGGTGGCCTTTTGGTTCAGTTTTGGAGCATCCGTCGGGTTCATTTAAGGAAAAAGCAGGGATGATCTTTGCCTCTATTGGGGGGGGGGGGGGGACAGTCCAGCCATCTTGGGGCCACTCCAGCCCAACCCAGACGCTCCGGTCAGTTTGAGCTGTGTCATCTCTCAGGCTGGGGAGAGGAGATCTTGGGCCAACTTCCGCACCACCCACAAGCCCGCAGATATGGAACCAGGTGGGCAGGTCAGAGGGTTTCGGCTTGGGTTTCACAGGAAGAAGCTGTGTCATCGAACCCCATTCATGGCCAAGGATCAGCAAGTGCCTTCAGCAGAAAGCGAAGCTTTTGAGCATGAGGCCCACGTGGGGTGCCAGTGCCTTGATGATGTCCTTCCATTCACTCAGTCCTGGCTGACATATTCTCAGGTACCGTCATCCCCTTTAAAATTACAGGGTAACAATGGGATCCATGGCTAACGGGTCAGAGGCTGGAGAGCGCTGGGTGATGTCTGCACAAGACTCACTTTAAGAAGTCTGACTTGGCGTGGCCTTTGGAACGACAGTAAAAGTTACCATGAGCTTCCTCATTTCCAAGCTCCAAGGGTCCTTCCTTTACCTCTAGGACTTGTTTCCTAAGCCCGTTTCTTCTAGGAAGTACGTTTTCTACCTAATTTACCCGGCAAATGTTCTCTTGCCAAAGAAGAAAAAGTTCACCTTCAGCAGGTGGTGATGGTGTGCCAGCCAGCACGTTGCATGCATTATTCTGTAGTATTCCCCCAACTACCCTCTGAGCTGAGAATTATACCTGTTTTATAGATTAAAAAATAAGAGGCTTGGTGAGGTTAAGCAACTTGCAGTCACAGGTACAGCTATGAAATGGCAGAGCCTGGACTCCAACCCCAGGGCCACGTGGTCCTTAACCACTGGGCAGACTTTTTTATTATTATTATTATTATTGATTTCAGAGAGGAAGGGAGAGGGAGAGAGAGAAACATCAATGATGAGAGAATCATTGATCAGCTGCCTCCTGCACACCTCACACTGGGGATTAAGCCCACAGCCCAGGAATCGAACCATGACCTCCTGGTTCATAAGTCAATGCTCAACCACTGAGCCATACGGGCTGGGTGGGACAGACTGCTTTTTAATGTGTATTGGCCCTGGCCCCAGAAACAGCCCCATGGACTTTTGCAATAGGTTTTGTGGTCGCCATTTACAATCATGTATCTCTCTTCCATTAGAATGGAAGCCGCTGAACAAACACTCCCTTGACAACGGTGCTTGGTGGTTCTGGAGGGAATGCAGGAATGAGTGAATATTCCTCCTTTCCTGACACAGCTCCTTCACAGACCCTCTTGGGCCAGAGGCCAGTGTCCTGCCCTAGCTGTCCGGTGCTATGATGAGGGGGTCTGCCTGGGGCCAGTTACAGAGCAGCCTGGCTTATCTTACAGACATTCCTAAGAGGAAGGGTGTGGTCAGGAATGAGTCGATGAGGCTCATGGGAAAGAGGATCTCAGCCCCCTCCTGGGTGCTGTGGCCCCAACAACCAGCACAGACATCAGGGACTTTCTGATGATTCCACTTTAGAAGGGAATTTTTTTTCTCTGTTTTTTAATCCCTGCTGAGGCCTCTGCAGTGGTGTGGTGTCCCCAGGCTGGTCCATGGAGGGAAAGGGCACCAGGAATTAGTGTAGTTAGTCTTTCTGGGAAGAGCTATGTACCAGGGGAACCCAGCAGATGCTCAATGAAAACTTGCTTCTTTTTCCTGAAAATCAGGCTGAGTAACACGCGGCTGGGTCCTCTCCCCAGCTGCAGACGGTACTATCTATAGCAGAGCCACATGGCAGGGTGGGAGGAGTGGATCTACAGCTGCTGCGTGAAGCCCAGAATTTAAACACAGAGCAACTCAGCAGCCAACTGTTGGGCTAAAACAGAAGCCGAGTTTCTGAGAAGAAAACATCTTTTAAGTCAGAAACATTCCGTTGGAATTCTGAACTCGCCTGCCCATTCACCACGGATTAACCAAGAACCAACAAGGCGGCTGGATCCAGGCACAGAATGATGGGAGATATTGAGCACACACTGACTCCGCTAGAACCAGCAAGCCGCCCTCCCTCGCATTCTAGAGATGAAGACATCATTGCCAAAGGGCCATTGTGCTCCTCCATTGCATCTTGTCTGCTGCGCTGCATTTCACACTCCAGAAGCAAATCCCTTCTTTGCAAGTTTCACGTCCACGCAGGGGCCAGGGACTACCTTCTCCTTGTCCACACCTTGGTGCCAGATGGGGGCACTAGTTGGTTTGTGTCAGCTCAGAGAACCAGAGGATGGCAGGCCGTCTGCGCCCAAGACTGGCATTGATAACAACTTGTACGCCCACCTCTGGAAAGAAGACTTCCTCTACCTTTTAAGCAGTGATGTTGGGGACCCGATGTTGTCTCTGTCAGAGGCACGTTCTCAATGAGCAACCCCTCTTTCTCACATCCGTACTTATGCATACACACAAAGACCCTGCTACAGAAATTTTAAAAGAATGGTAGAAAACTATGGTGACCTACTGGATCCTTTTCTCCCTCCCGCTGATCAACTTAACTGATATCCTCAACTTGAAAATGAAAGAACAAACTTTTCTCACCATCTTCCCACTACAAATTATCTTCCTCTCCAAAAGGTCTGACCCGCATCTTGGTACGTCTCTAGGACAAAGACAAGGTCATCTGTCTCAAGTGTGGGACTAAGCAGCCAAGCTGCCTCTAATCTTTCCCACCCTTCATAGGCAAAAACTGAAAATGGCAGGTGCATAAGTAGTTGACTGCTTAAGACCCTTGGTCAGCAAACTGCGGCTCTTGAGCCACATGCGGCTCTTTGGCCCCTTGAGTGTGGCTCTTCCACAAAATACCACGGCCTTGGACGAGACTATAATATTTTGAAGAAGTGGCATTAGAAGAAGTTTTTTAAAAATTTGGCTCTCCAAAAAAAATTTTAATCGTTGTACTATTGATATTTGGCCTTGTTGACTAATGAGTTTGCCGACCACTGGCTTAAGACTCGTTGGGCCCTGGCAGGTGTGGTGCAGTTAGTGGGAGCACTATCCCATGCACCAAGGGTTGTGGGTTCGATCCCTGGTCAGGATGCATGTGGAAGGCAACCAACTGATGTTTCTCCCCTCTCCCTCTTCCTCTCTCTGGAATCAAAAGACTTGGCATTGAAGGATGTCAGAGGGCATTTGGAAATTCATTTTATCCAATCTCAACCATCTGACCAGCTGGCTGGCATTAGCCTTTGCTCAAACCCTTCTAGAGTTAAGAACATCCATTTATTGGTTCAGCTCCTCCCTGAATTCTTAACCTTGGTGGCAGGTATGAATGATCCAGAGCTATCTGTGTTCTGATTCCAGTGCCTTGATGTCTTTGGTGTCATTTTCTTCCTTGGTGTTCTTTCCTTTTTCCCCCCCCCCTTCCTGTTGGGTCTCTTTATGCCAAAGAAATTAGTCCGGAGGTAGAATCCTGTTCCTTCTCCTCCAATAAAAAGTTAAATGGTCTTCTCTTCCTTCTGAGTACCCAGGGTAGGCCCAGAGCCCTCTCTTATCTTCTTAGAAGAATGGGACTTCCTGTTTAGCTTATGATCCAGATGCAGTCTTGTCTTCTCGGAGATAAGGTGGCCTCTGCTTTTACTCTTCCGTTGTCTCCATCCCAGTCATGTCGCCTGCGGGCTGTGGCCCAAGGCCTTCGCCAACCCCAGGAAAAACAACTCCTGACTCTACAATAGTTGTTGGCTTTGCCACATCAGCGGGTCTTGTAACTGGGCCAACTTGCCCGGCTGTTCCCTGCTGCTCTCAGCTCTTCTTTCCCGGGGTGCTGAGCCCCAAGGGGCTGTGGCTCTGGACCTCCCACCAGTCCTCACTCCCCTCTGCAACCCTAGGCTTTCTGGGTTTCCTCATGAGCATCTTTCTCTACTCTCACTGGTTCCTGCTCCTGGGCTCTGACCCCAGTTCTCAAGCTGAGAACGGCAACCCTGAAAGCTTGACCGAAGGCCAGAGGATGGCACGTTGTGGCAGGATTAGCGGTATTTGGGGAGTGCTGTTAGCAAGCCAGGTTCGGATGAAACAAGACAGGAAACTTTTTCTAGAGAGGGGGCAGCCACGGTCAAGATGGTCAGCTACACCCCGATAATTCCCTGTGTGCACAACCCCACCACCTGCTACCCGGGGATATTCTGGCCAGAAGGGCCCTATGGACACGTCAGAAGGTAGGACAGGTGCTTCAGAGGCTTTTTGCCTCCCTGCTTCCCCAGCAGGGTTCTTGGGGATGCAGAGAGTGACACCCAGTGGCCTTCAGGCAAACCCCAAGCGTGCAGTCTCAGGGAGGGGGAGTGAGAACACCTCGCTGCTCAGCAGTCTCCCCCACAGTGGCCTCAGTGCACACGGAGGCCCACAGGCACCCGCCTTCCAGCCAAGGACTGCAGGAATGTTTGTTTCCCTCTGTCCCAGCCAGGGTATCGGGGTGTGTTTCCTATCAGTTACGAAGTGTAAGAACAGGCCTCCCCCTTAACCTCCATCTACTTTGTGTGCCAGGAGCCTCACAACGACCCTGTGAGGTGGGCAAAGGGGGGGGGGGTGTTCTTAACCCCATTTAAGAGATGAAGGAGCTGACGTTCAGAGGAGGAAGGGAAAGCTCGAGGTCACGCAGTAGTATTGTGAGGTGGAAGCGGCTGGGATTAAGCCCGAGGCCCCCCTGATTCCTGGTTCAGTACTCAGTCCACTAAGCCACCGCCAACACTTCCAGCAGCACTGGGACCGGGGCGTCCCAGGACACAGGACTTCCCAGCATCCACACCGGGCCAAAGCGAGCACACCGTGCAGAAGCATCCTCACACCCACTGCCGACAGCTGCCCAGCCTCCTCCTCCAGCAGAGACGCGGCGCCCGGCTCCTCCACTGACACTGTGCGTGCAGACACAAACCTCAGCCCTGCCAACAGCTGACAGGTCCTGGCGGAAGCTCAGCCTGACTTTTCACCCAACACAACACCCGGGCCGGAGCCAGAGCCACCTCGGCCAACGTCAGCAGCAAGCGCGCTCCCCTGCTCAGAACACCTCCATTCTCCTTCCTCGTCAAGGCCACGATCTGCCTGGGTCTGGGCTTGCTCCTGACCATTGGCGCTACACACAGAGTTTCTTTCCTGACCCTTGTCCATCACTAGGCTCAGCCTCCTTCCCTGGCTGCTGAATTCCACCTGCCAGGGAACCAGCCAGCAAAGCTCTCCAGGAGGTGCCCTCTCCTCCCCGCCCCCGTGGGGTCTAATGCCTCTCTCACCGACATCAATGCCTCCGTGGGCTCTCCAACTGCATCCGCCTGAGCAGCAGAAGTTCCGGGCCCAGCTGGGAACAATACCCTGCCTGTTCCCACTGCTGATCTCTTGGGAACCCCCATTCCAAACACCCTACGTCTCCTGGGACGGAAGGGGCGGCAAGCAGCTAGCTGGGCGAGGACCGCGTTTATCATTCAGAGGGAAGGGCAGGTGGGCCGTGTGCGGAATGGAGCCCGAGGCAGGGTGGTCCGGAGCCCCCAGCCGCCCACGCGGGCTCAGGGACCACCCCCCCTCCGGAAGTGAGGGACCGCGGGGAGATTACCTCGGTTGCAGATGCTGCAGAAGTTGCTGGGCCCCTCGCTGTGCTTCTTCAGGTGGTCCGCCATGTACGCTGCCCGCAAGTACTTGCCGCACACCTGGCAGGGCACTTTGTCCTCATGACAGGCCAGGTGGGAGCGCAGCCGGTCTCGGGTGGCAAAGGAAGCGTTGCAGGTCTGAGGGCAGAGAGGAAAACAGGATGAGGGGCGAGCTGGCATTCCCCCCCCGACTCCTCACCGAGCGCGCTGTGGGACTAAGCCGTTTCTGGTCGACACATCCGACTCCTCGCACAGAGAGCGTTAGAACACGGCCCAGGCTTTCTCCCCGGCCGGCCAGCTCGCCGCTCTGATTTCCCACACGGGACCCTGGAGTTGGAATTCCCAGTTCCCATGACTACCCCAGCACGGCACCCTATGCTCCCCTACAGAATGAAGACGAGGCATTTGTTCATTTGTAAACATTCAGCATTGACATCAGTTGCACTGACTACACGGGAGTCTGCACAAGAGTTACTGGCATATAAACAGACCAGCCTTCCTATTCTCCATCCCAGGTTTCCCTCGCTGCTTTATACAAAGAATTCAATTTATTCACTTGATTCAAAAGCGACTGTTCGTCTTGGCCACAGGGAAATGAGAAAGAAAGGCAAGACCAAGCCCATAGGTTACTCCCATGTTCTCGTGAGTCAATATTGAAAAATTTCGCCCATAAAATGGTACTGTCAGTGCTGCTGACACGAGAAAAGAGCAGAGAAAGCGGGCCAGAGGTTTCGGGAGCATTTGTGAAATGTTAAGTTGGGGAAGTGCTGGTAATAACAAGGAAGGCGATGCCACCCTACACTGATGGGGCACTCACTCCGTGCCAGGCGGGCACCATGCTTAGCCTCTCAGAGGCGCTTATCTCACTCGGTCCATCCTACGGCAGCCTTCCGGGGCAGGCTGTGCTATCACCTTCCCAGAGTGCCGTCACAGAGCGTTGTGCCGTGACCACCAGCTCATGGCCAGGTCGCAGGGCCAGATGACTCGGGTGATCGAGGTTGGCACCCACAACACCTGCACCCTGGGAGGGCGGGCCCAAGCCCCGGGCATTTCCTGTGTCTGGAACCTGACTCAGCCTCAGTCCCCGATCTCCCCAGCACCCCTCCCTCCGCTGAGGCCACGGAATGTCGGGAAAGTCCTCAGGAGCCTTCAGGCTGGTGACTCTCAGGCTATTTGGAGTCCATGGAAGTGTTTCCGGGATTCTAGCTGAGTCTGACTCATTTCTCTGTGTGTGTTTACTGTTGTAGAACTGCAAGAGAAAGCAACCTGCCCCTCTTAAGTGCATTCCAGATCGAAGGTTAACCTGCTGAAGACCTGCTACCCTGTTCACTTGCTCCTGCTGAGTCTGTTTAACAGAAGCCTATCCTGGGATCCTTAAGGTAAGTGAGCAGTCCTCACGGACACTTATCTATTTCCTTACTGTACAAGTACCGTTATCTGTCTCCTTATTGTACAGTCAAAAGCAAGAAACAAGCCCACGTGATACTCGAGGCCGAAGATGCCACGGCGGCTACCCTAATCCTAATACCCTGTGTGCATCAGGACAGGCCTTGCTGTTCTGTCACTATCTTTTAAGTAAGCGTTACAAGTTTGAGCAGAACACTTTCTACTAATAAAGCACCGCTTTTATTTGTTTTATATATCGAGTTTATTCGTTTGACAAATGAGGAAGCTGAGTTTAGAAAGTGATGTGCCCAAAGCACATTCAGCTGCCAGAGAAATCAGCGGTCTGAACACCCTGCCACACCAGACCAGGACCCTACCGATCCTGCCGGCTACCCCGGGGTCCCTGTCTTCCCTCACGTCCCGCTGGGCAGACAGAAGCCCTGAGAGGACACGGGACAGCCGGCCCGTGAGCCCCCTGAACCTGTTCTCTCACCATCTCTGGCTCAGTAGAGGTCGCTTCTGGTCAGTGAAAGGTGCCGGGACTTTTTAACACAGTGTATTTGGTGGCCAGGGCTCCCGACGGGAAGAGGTGACAGGACTGTGCAGGGGAACTCGAACACTTAGGTGCCTCAGAAAGCATCACGGGTGCTTGGTCTCATGGCCACAGGTGGGTCCCCCCTCAGGCTGGGACCACAAGACCCAATTATGGGCCAGAGCGAGTGGGGAGGGGGGGAGAAAGAGACTGAGTCTCCACCTAGCCCCCCAGCCTGTGAACCAGAGCGAGGGCTGCTGTAAACACCCTCTGGAGCACATGTGTCAAACACAAGGCCCGCGGGCCAAATCCGTCCCGCCAGGCCTTGCAATGTGGCCCGCACCGCGCTGTCATCACTGCACTCCGCTGCGTTTCCATCACAATGACAGTTTATGACTGTTCAGTAAACCATTCGGCCCGCGATTTAGGCTGGATTTTAGATTTTGGCCCCTTCTCTGATTGAGTTTGACACCCCTACTCTGGAGGGTGCACCTGTCGACTGATCCACAATCAGGAGCCAGCTTGGCCAGCCCGTCACCTACCCGCCGCCCCTGCATTGGTGAGAGGCTGGGTGGCCTGAGCCTCGGAACGCAGAGGAACCACACCCGGCCCAGGTGTGAGGACACGCAGCTGAAAGCGGGCATTCAGGACCGTGCCTCCCGCGTTCCCCGGGAGGGGATGCGCCCGGACGGATATGAAAGGGACGCCTGTTTCTCTCGCCAGCCTTCTTTGCGGCTCTGTCCTTGGAAGCGCGGCCTGTCAGACTCGCTGGCTCAAGATAACGGACCACCAAACCTCGGTTATCCACAAGTGGATTATCCATCTGGAGGATTCGCTAAGCAAAAGTAAAATCTCAGACCAGGCCGACTCCCCCCGCCCATCCCCCATGGATGGCCTCTCCAGGAATGAGAGCGCAGCTCAGCCTGGGCAAACAGCATGAGGAATGTAAATCTGCTGCTGAAAAGAAGACACACAAGCACAACAGCAACTCTCACTGTGTGACAAAGCCCACTGGAGCGATAGCAGGCTTAGTCCCCCAAGTTTTCTGGGGGGATCTTGAAAGTGTGTGAGTCTGAGTCTAGGCCTGCCAGAAGTCCAGAGAACACAGGACATAAAGAGGCTGGTCACATGACCCAGGAGAGAAGGCACAGAGGACAGAGGGGAGACATATCAAAGAAAGGGTCACCCAGAACCTCCATGCGGGACAACTCGAGGGAAAGGCATTCCAGGAGACAGGGAGAAGAGAGAGGGCCTGACGGGGTAAGAACGAGCCCGCAGGGTGTGATCTGATTGCCGGTGGCGCGTGGCAACGGCTGCCCTGCCCACAGCCCTGTGCTTAGGCAGCTGCTAAAGGCCAGGTCCCAGCCCAGCCAGCCTGAGCTGGGGTCACCTCTGCTCATCACCACTCCACACTGAGCCCGATATGCCCACTTCCCCAGCCCACCTCCTGATGGTTTTCTTCCCACGGGCCAGCAGCTCAGAAACAGAGCCCACGTGGTACCAGGGACGAATGCGAAACAGATGCCCCTGCTGGACGAATGCAAAACAGAAGCCCAGGCACACCTGGCTGGCCAGCCCCGCACATGGGAGCCAGCACGTCTTTACCTGCTGGGTCCCCGGTAAAGGAGTCTGGCTAGGGGCTGCAGGCAGGGCCGGCAGGCCTGGGAGAGGGCTGAGATACCCAGGGACAATGATGTCAGTGTTATGACACAAACCAAGGACAAAACACACAAAGCCTCAAATGTTAGAATTAAAACTTTTATCATCACTTGTTACCCCACGGAGCCCGCGGGGGCTAAAGGGCACACCAACAGGATCCGAGGGGGGGGGGGAATCTACATACATCTGCTTTATCAGCCCCCAAAGCCATTCGCATGATGGGGTGACCCGATACAAAGCTACTGGTTAGTCTAGTTCCTGAGCAGACCTGCTAATAAACCTCAAAAACACCAAAGTCTTATTCTCTAGCCAGAAGTGAGAGCAGGACCTGTCTGAGGGGGAGGGAGGAGCAGGACACGGGGAGGACCCAGGTGGAGTTGCACCTCTGGAGGGGCATCACTGCCAGGGTGGGGGGCGGGGTGGCCAGGCCCCATTCTAGAAAACCCCTGCCTTGGGGGGGGGGGTGATGCCAGGGGGAGGGGAAGCACAGGAGCCAGTGGCTTAGCTCCCAGGAATGCACCAGCCTCCAAAGTGGCCCAGGCCAGGACAGACACCCAGGGGCACCTGAAGCCTGCGTGGGTGGGGACCAAGGACCAAGGAGCTTCTTGCTCTCCCATCTGGGGTCCCTGAGCTGGGAAAGGCTCCGGGTCGCCCTGGGAGGAGCCAGGCATGGCGGGTGGGAACCGCTCGGCTGGCCTCTCCCAAAAGCAAGGGCCTCAGAGCAACCGCCGCTCCCAGTCCGTCCACAGAAAGCCCTGTCCGGGAGGCCAGGCTAGCCCACAGGCCACTGGGGAAAGGGCCGGCTGCCCTCGGGGGCGGCCCAGCCCTGCCGCAGGTACCCCGGAGGGCCCGGGCAGAAGAGCGCGTTGCCGGAGGGTGCTGGGCCCAGGTTTTCGAGGGCCGGGAAGGGTTTTTTTAGAGAAAGGGAAAAGGCGGTGTCAGGAACCGAATGGGACGACCTCCACAAAGCAGGCTGGGCAAAGTCCCATGATGGCAGGTCGCTAGGAAGAGATTCCAGGGGCGGCAGGCCGCTGCTGCTCCCAACCCACACCTGGAAAAAGGGCAGAGAGTGCAGGTTACCCCCGGAGGCCACCGGGCTCGGCCCCAATGCCCTCTGGGCTCCTCCTACTCTGCCAGGCTCTCGCTACCCGGGAGAGTCCGCATGTGCTCTGTGACGAGAAGACCGGAGACGGAGAGAAGGCAACGAGGCACGGATGGACCTTACAGCCCCGCCCCGGGTTAGCGTCCTCTGGAGGCCACCTCGCCTCACTCACGTGATCACCATCCGCGCTGGCTCCTTGGCCTGCCTACCACACGTCCACCCTTCACTGCAGGTCTCCCCGAACCCTCCCTCCTTGCCACCAACAGGGTGTAGAGAAGCAGGTTACCCCCCGAGGCTGCAGTAAGCACCCCACAACTCTGGGCACCCGAGAGGGGAGGTAACCAAGGAGGAGAGGAGGCGTGTTCTCCATCTGCACAGGAATGCTCAGCGGCCAAGAGAGGAAACTCAAGTTCCTGGGTGCCACAGGGCCCCCCAGGTATTACTCAAGCAGACACACCGAGGGTGAGGACCGTGTCCAGCCTTCCCGACCGCCTGCTACGCAAAGAGCTCACGAGAGGAAACCATCTTGCCCTCCAGGCCTCAGGAGGGTGACACAGGTGCCAGTGCTCCGAGGGAAGACCGCCCACCCTCCCCACCTCCTGCCGACCTCAGGGAACTCCAATTCGGGTCAGGCTGCCTGACAAACAAGGGGACCAGGAGCCCTCTGCAGGTCCCCCCCGCCCCCGCCCCACTGGCCTCTGGACACTGCAGAGAACCAGAAGCCGGGCCCAGCGGGAGGCCAGTGCCCCCAGGACAACACGTGAGCCATGCGGCCCACCGTCCACAGAGCTGGCCAACACCAGGAAAGGAGAGCCTAAGCTAAGCAACACAGGAGACAGGGTGGAAACCAGGACCCAACAACCAGGAAGGAGGGGACGGCGGGAGGGGGCCGGGGGAAGAACAAAGAAGAGCCGACGGACGGAGCGGGGAGGGTCAGAGGAGGAGGTGTGCCAAGCGGTGGTCAGCCAGCGGCCCCGCACGCCCCGCACGCGCAGCAGCTGGCTGGTGGCTGGGCCGTGAGGACAGCAGCGATCTCCTCCAGCCCCGCGCGGCCTTGGCCGACCCCTAACCCCTACCTGACACTTGTGAGGCCGCTCGGAGGTGTGCACCTGCTTGATGTGTCCATTCAAGTGATCGGGCCTGGAAGGGAGAGAACCGAGACAGGCTTTAAAATCAGACCTAAAAAAAAAAAAAAAAATGGGGCCACGCTCTTGGCCAGGCCCCCCAACCCCCCCTCCCACCCTGATGGAGCGCACTCCCTCTCCCCCACCCCCCAGTGTGACAAAGACAACCTCGATCCCCCCCCCCTGGCTCCCAGGCCCAGGCCTCTCTGGCGGGAAGGGAAGTGAGTGTTTGTGTCTGACCTTGCCTGCCCACCTCCCTCCCCCACCAGAAACTCAATGATTTCCAGGACCCTGAGGAGGTGGCTTCAGAATGAGACAAGCTGCCTCGCTGCAGCCTTTCCGGGAGGGGGTGTGTGTGATTCATTGTCCAGACTAAAGCCCCTTAGAAACTCAGCGTTCCCCTCCCCCAGCCTCTCCCGCGGGCGGCAGCCAATGAATGCCACCCAGATGGAATTCAGTCCCCAGAGGCCGAGGGATGGAGCCTTAAGTCCCCAGCTGGGCTGGTAAGCCAGATGCCCGCCAGAGCAGGTGGGCAGGGGTTGCCTGACCGGTAAGACTGGTTCCTGAGTGGGGCCCCTCTGAGGGAGTTCTCCATCCCCGGGTTCCACACACACACACACACACACAAGGTCCTTAGTATCCAGGCAAGTTAAAACCAGCCTTTTATCCTGGATATTCCCTTCAGAGAGAAACAAAACAACCCCCCACTCCCGGACAAGTTGGGGATCCCTAAAAAGTGCATCTCAAAAACCGCCCTGCCCCCTTCCTCTGTGTCCTGTGGGGCCAGTTCGGCTCGGGAGCCACCAGATCTGAGCTGATTGAAGATGTGTTAGGAAGAGACTCTGGGTGCCCAGCTGCCTGCCCGAGAGGGGCAAAGCTGGAGCCCACCGATCTCTGATGGCCGGTGCTGAGCTGTGGGCTGGGGGACGTGGTGGCCCAGGAGCGCAAGGAGTCTGAGACACACTTGTTTCTGTTTCAGCGTCTCCCTCCCTCGGCAGGCAGCCATTCAAGCGGGGAAAGTCGCTGGAGGAGCCCAGCCTCCCGCCCCCAGAGGGGGCCCCACGCCTGGTGCCGGAAACACAAAGGAGCCCAGGGAGAAGAATGGTGAGGCCCGGTGGCTGTGGCCTGAGGAATCCGGGGCCCTTCCCACCAGGCCCCGAGGAGGGGAGACGGCAGGGCAGGCCTGGAGCCAGAGAACTTCCCTGGGGACGAGAAAGCAGCTTTCGGCCAGCACCCTCTCAAAAGCAGGGCCGTTATAAAGCACTCCCCACCCCAGACTGGGGTCCAGTGACCTCCGCACTCCCAGATCCTGGCAAGGAGCTACGCCCGGGGTCAGAAATAGGGCAGGTCACAGGGGGGAGGGCACCATGCTCACCTGGAGAAGCCTTTCCCACAGCTCTGGCAGATGTAGGGCTTGCCCACGGACCCGTCGTGGGACCGCACGTGGTAGGACATGCGGTCTTTTCTCTTGAACCTCAGCCCGCACACGGGGCAGGAGTAGGGCTTCTCCCCCGAGTGGGAAAGCTTGTGCCGGTTGAGATGGTACACATCGCGGAAGATCTTGCCGCAGATCTCACACGCCACCTGCTTCCTGGTCCGGCTCCTCTTTCTGGGTCCGTCGGGGTCCTCGGAGATGGGCAGCCCGTTCTCACCCAGCCTGGGAGGAGGGAGGTCGATGTAGCCCAGCTGGAGGCTGGTGACGCCATGCTGGGCCTCGTGCTGCCGGAGCCGGTTGGCATCGGTGAACACCTTCCCGCACAGGCCACACGGGAGGATGCCTGCCTCCCGCAGGCCCCCCGGGGACCCGAACATGGAGTCCAGCAGGTTGGCCTTCCTTGGGCGGCCCCGGCCTCGTTTGCCAGTCAGGGCAGGGGCACTGGATGCCACGTTGGGGAATGGGGAAGTCAGCAGTTGGGGGGACAGGGGTCCGGCCACCATGGGCAAGCGGTCCACCCCAGGTAACACAGGCAAGGACGCCTGGCCGGCAATGGCCGCGCCAGCTGCCCGAGCCGCCTCCTCCTCGGGCTGCATGCTGCCTGCAATGCCATTGCTGTTGGCTGCCAGGGCTGCCCCGTTGGTCATGTCCAAAGGGAAGCCCAAGTCTGAGGTCCCGGGGGGACGAAAGAGCATGATGTCAGCGCGGGCAGGGGGCACCAGGATCTGCACATTGGACTGTTTGATGACTTCCTGGCAGATCTCGATGACCGACCGCATCAGCAGGAACTTGGCGGCCGTCATGAGCTCGGGGAAGCTCTCCAGGCGAACGACGATGCGGGAAGTGTAGGCGAAGTCCAGGATGTCCCCGAACACCTTGGAGCTGATGGTGTGCATCTCCAGCTCCCGGCCGCCCCCGGCCCCGCCGCCGGGCCCCGCCGCCGCGCCCCCCACGTCGGCGGGACCCCCGTCCGCGGTTCCGCCATCGCCCAACTGGGCGCTGAACACCGACTCGAAGTACTCGCTGCAGGCGGCCAGCACGGCGCGGTGCGCCGGGAAGCTCTCGTCCCCCACCCGCAGGAGCACGTCGCAGAAGCGCCCGCCGTTTTTGCGCTGCTGGTTCAGGTTGTGCAACATCTCGGTGCTGTGCCTGCTCACCTGGTAGGTGTAGCAGCCCGACGGGCCGCAGGACGCGTCGTTCACCCGCTCCATGTCCGCCGCCCCCTCCCCGCTCTCCCGGCCGCGGCTCTCGCCCGCCCCTTTCCCTTCCCCTAGGCAGGAACAAGAGGGGCGCAGCGGACGTGTCTATACTCCCCACACGTGCCGGCCCCGGGGCTCTGTAGTCTCGCAGGTGCGCCGAGCGCACACGCCCCCTGCCCGGATCGTACCGTCTAGACTGCAGGGCGCACCACCCCCCACATAGCGGCCCCTACCCCCGCCGGATCGCGCGCTCCTCTCGCCTCTCCGCCCGCCCGCCCGCCTCCCCTTCTCGGTCTACCTCCGGGGGGGAACAGCGCACAGAGGTGCGCCCCTCCTGCCAACTCGCCTGCCGCCTCCCCTCCCGCCCGCCAGGCGGCGCCGGCGCGCAGCCAACAGGGGCGCGCGCGCGGGGAGGAGGAGGAGGGGTCCCCGCGCAGGCGCGCGCCGCGGCTTTCCCCGGGCCGCTGGGGGCGCGCGCTGCGTCCCCTGCAAAGCGCGAGCCGGGGCGGGGGCGCCGGAGCGGAGGAAACAAAAGGCGAAGGCGGCGGCGGGGCGCGCAGCGGGCGGCGGCACCGGCTGGGTCCCGAAGCCTGGCGGGCGGCGGCGGCGGCGGCGAAGGCTGCAGCGGGCGGGCGGCGGCGGCGGCTGGGTGGGCCCTTCCCCGGGCCGGGCGAAGGCGGCTGCGAGCTGCGGCCCCGGGCTCCGTGTGTTCGGAGCGGAGGAAAGATGGCAGCGGCTGCACTTCCTCTTGCACTTTCACCCCTGGGGGGAGGAGAAGGAGGGGGCGATACCAACAACACCCCCCCTTCTCGCTTGCAGGAAAAAAAAAAAAAGAAAAGACGAGCTCGGTGTGGGGGGCCCCCGGTGCCCCCGGCCCTGCACGTGCGCACCCGGATCCCCGGCACCGGCCGCCCCGCGCTGCAAACTTTCCACTTTCTTTGTGCCGAGCGCCCCCCCCCTCACCGAGCGAGGATGCACGTCCCCCCTTCCCTATTTATACACCCCCCCCCCGCCGCCGCTCCCCCCGCTTCCTGCCCCCCCTCCCCATTCTCCAGCTCCGCCAATGCTGGCGCAGCTGAGCCCCCGTACGGCCCCCGCCTCCCCACCCCACCCGCGGGGCCAGGGGCTGCAGCCTCGGCCCCCCCGGACCAATGCAAACGAAGCGCCGAGCCAGCAAACCAGGTCCCACTGCCCCTCCCTCCGTCCCTCCCTCCCCGCCGAAAAGTGGCTGTGTGTGCGGGCCGGTGGGGGAAGGGGGACCGAGGGGTGCAGATCTGGGCCCCCCGGTCCCAGCTTTCGGTGTGCACCCGTAAGGAGAACGGGCTTCGGCCGCCGCTCAGAGCCCACCTTTGATGCGCGGAAAACCCAGAAGTCGCCTTCCCGCTCCCAGCCCCAGAGAGCCCGGGGTCCTGGCTGGGGGACAGGCCGAACCTCCGGAGCTGCCCCTGCACCCCGCGCACCCACAGATCCGAGGGGGCTGAGCGTCCGGGAGCTGGGGAGGAGAGGCCATCGTCCCGGCTCTCCCCCCAGCCCCCGCGCCGAGCCCTGTGCCCGGGGAGGGACAGGCAGCAGCTCAGGGAGGCGGCCGCACAGGCGCGCGGGCGATGGGCAGGGGCAGGGGTCCGCGCGCACCCCAGCACTGGGCCCTGGAGAAGTGAGGGTGCCGGGGGGTCTGGGGAGCGCCCTCCGGCCCGCTGAGGCCGCAGCATCCCCGGCGGCCCCGGAGCGCTCGGGCCACAGGCCCCGCGGGCAGGCCTGGGCGCTTTGTCCCCGCTCCGCCCCGGAGGATGCCGCGTGCGGGCGGGACCCTGAGGACTGGCTGCCGCCGCTGGGCACCGGGGCTCGGGGCTCCGAGCTGCAGGCGCCGCGTGTGCGGGCGGGAAGTTCCCACAATCGCAAAGAAGGAGCGAGTGTGGGTTCCAAACTTTCCACGGTTCCCAACTCCAAACCGAGCGCTTCCATTAGGAGCCGCGGAGGAGGGGGCGGGGGAGGGGATGGGAGGGGGGCATTCTGGGGATCCGCGTGCAAATGATCGGGCCCGGCTCCCAGCTCCACTCGGGATTCCCGCCGCCGCCGCCGCCGCCTGCCCGCTCCGCGCCGGGCCACGCGCGCCTCGGGGGCTTCCGCGCGTGCCGCCGAGGGAGGATCCGAGTTCGAGAACCCCGCCTCCGGGTTACTGTGGTCTGGCTCCGGCCAGAGGGCCTCTCTGAGCCTCTGAGTTAAACAGTTTGCCCCCCCCCCCCCCATGTGTACGCCGGCGATGGCAGCACCTGTCTCGGGAAGGCAGGATCCGAGGGTCTTTGCGCGGCACCCAATTCTGGGCTGGATGCCTCTCCTTGCACACCTCTGCCCTTCCCCGGACGTAGTGGGTGCTAAAAGCCTGTTGGAGAGAGAGAAAAATGAAGCTTAGAAACTTAAGGAAAATTCCTGGACCGGGAGCCAGGCTATTTGTGTTTGTTCTGAGTCACAACCTGCTGTGTCGCCTCAGGCTACTGCCTTAACCTCCCTGAGCCAGAGCTCAGAGCCTCTTGGGTGGGTTCTGGAACCGCAGTTTTTCGTGTGTGTGTGTGTGTGTGTGTGTGTGTGTGTGTGTTCCAGAGTGCTGCAGGGAGCAGCCACAGAGAGAGATGAAAGGGATTGAATTATTGAGGGCCTTTTGCTGAACACACATCTTCCCTCCGAGGTGGACACAGCCATGTCCATTCTACCCACGGAAATGGGTGACCTGCCCAAGGCCAGACAGTAATCCAACCGGTTAACCTGAGTATGCCCCTGCCTCACCAGTGGCTTCTGAACCCACTTACTGGCTTGGCTCCTCCGGAAAGGAAGAACCGGCTCTCGTCTGCTGGGCTTGGAAAAGGGTGCGGGCCCTGGCCAGTGTGGCCCAGTGGGTTGGTTCCTTCCTGGTCAGGGCGCATGCCCAGGTTGCAGGCTCAATCCCTGGAAAAAAAGGGGCTGTGACAGGCTTCATCTCAGAGGGTCCACCCTAAGACGATAGGTGCCCGTTGCTCTGAAGGAGAGGGCGATGCATCAGCCCATTTTGCAGAAGGGAGGCCTGAGGCTGAGGGAATCTGAAGACGGTACAGCCAGAGGCAAACCCATCTCCCGCTCTGCACCTCGTATTCCCGCTGCATGTCACCTTGGCAGCATGCCTGCACAGGAGGACTGCAGTGACCTCTCACCTTCCTCCATGACCCCACCTTCAGTCCTGCCCATCTCTTAGGCTCCCAGAACTCCATTCTGTAACTTCAGGCTTCCAGACATTCTTAAAGGACACTGAAGTGATATTCACACGAAATGTAACCATTTTAAGGTGTAATCCAGTAGCACATATTACATTCACAATAGGTGCAAACACGACCTCTATCAAGTTCCAAACATTTTTGTTAGTGGTTGGCAAACGGCAGCTCACGAGCCACATGCGGCTCTTTGGCCCCTTGAGTGTGGCTCTTCCACAAAATGCCACGTACCCTAATTAAGTGAATAACAATGTACCTACCTATGTAGTTTAAGTTTAAAAAATTTGGCTCTCAAAAGAAATTTCCATTGTTGTCCTGTTGATATTTGGCTCTGTGGACGGATGAGTTTGCCGACCACTGCGTTAACTCCAACGAAAATTGCCGCACCCCACAGTCCCCCCTCCAGCCCCTGGCAACCAGCAGTCTGCATTCTGTCTCTAAAGGTTTATCTGCTTCAGATTAATATGACCAGACGTCCCGATTTTTAACAATTTGTTCCACAGCGTTTTTAAAAAGTCCAGATTTTTTAAAAGATTCTTTTAAATCTTTTGGTCTTTTTTAAAACGCCGCAGGACGCAGGACAAATTGTTAAAAATCAGGGCATCTGGTCACCTTACTCTAGATATTTAATATAAATGGAATCATACCATATTGGAACTTTTTTAATAAATATATTTTATTGATTTTTTTACAGAGAGGAAGAGAGAGGGGTAAGAGAGCTAGAAACATCAATGAGAGAGAAACATCCATCATCTGCCTCCTGCACACCCCTCACTGGGGATGTACCCGCAACCAAGGTACATGCCCTTGACCGGAATCGAACCCAGGACGCCCCGGTCCATAGGCCGACGCTCTATCCACTGAGCCAAACCGGTTTCAGCAATATTTGGACTTTTGAGTCTGGCTTCTTTTACTTCCCATAGTTTGAAGTATCAGTACTTCATTTCTTTCTTTGGCTGAATTCCATTGTGTGGGCACCACCTTCTCTTTATTCATCCATTCATGGCCTGTAGGCTGTAGGCTGTTGTGAATAGTGCTGCTATCAATATTCGAGTACAAGTATTTGTTTATGTATCTGTTTTCAATTCTCTTGGGTATATACCTGCAAGAGGAATTGCTGAGTTGTATGACAATACTAGGTTTAACTTATTTTTAAAAAAAATACATTTTATTGCTTTTTTTTTTTACAGAGAAGAAGGGAGAGGGACAGAGAGTTAGAAACATCAATGAGAGAGAAACATCGATCAGCTGCCTTCTGCACACCCCCCCACCGGGGATGTGCACGCAACCAAGGTGCATGCCCTTGACCGGAATTGAACCCGGGACCCTTGAGTCTGAAGGCCAACGCTCTTATCCACTGAGCCAAACCAGTTAGGGCAGGTTTAACTTTTTGAGAAGTCCTCAAACTGTTGAAAACAGCAGCTGCAACCATTGCACGTTCCTACCACACAGGTGTTTTTGCAAGTAGTTTTAGAGCTTGTTAAACCTCCCATTTTATGAATGAACGTGCTGGGGCCCAGAGGGATTAAGTACCTTGTCTAAGGTCACACAGCAGGGTCCAGACTAGAACCAAGCTTTCCTGAGTTTCTGGCTTTCCGTCCACTAAGAGCCTTTGACCCTCCATCAGAGATCCAACCACCTGCCCGCGTTGTTTGACCAACCTGACCAGCGATCAGCTGAGTTAACCGTATTTATGAAGTTCCTTTCCCCCCTCAACGTCTGTGGGAAAGCCCGCTACAATGTTCTCAGTTTCCGGGCTGCACCTTGAAAAGATGCAGAGCTCACAACCCCTGTGTCTGTCTCCTGCTGCCGGCCTGGCTGGCCCTCTTCTGTTGTCATGGAAACCACGCACCTCCGTTTTGGCAGTGCACCAGCTGGACAAGGAACTGAGAGCATCCTTATCTCCTCCCAGGCTAAGAGGAGCTGGTTACTCAGTCGCTAGATCTATATTTATTGAGCACATACTAGGCAATAGTTTTTTTTTTTTAATATATATATTTTATTGATTTTTTTATAGAGAGGAAGACAGAGGGATAGAGAGTTAGAAACATCGATGAGAGAGAATCATCGATCAGCTGCCTCTTGCACACTCCCTGCTGGAGACGTGCCTGCAACCAAGGCACATGCCCTTGACCGGAATTGAACCCAGGACCCTTCAGTCCGCAGGCCGACGCTCTATCCACCGAGCCCAACCGGTCGAGGGCAGGGGTCCTCATTTTACAGGCGAGGAAACCGCGGCATCGCCAGGCTGGGAGAGGAAAGGCGCGGCCCCAAGCCGAGTGGCACCTGGATGGCGGCCTGAGGAAAGGCAGAGTGGCACCTGGATGGCGGCCTGCTCCCGGCCTTCCCACAGACCCAGGCTGCCAGGCTCCGGCCAGTGATTGGCCAGGAGCCAGGGCCCCAGCTGGAGGTGGTGATGGAGGGAAGCATGGGAGAGGGGCCCCCTCATTTCTGCCAGACAACAACCAACACCCCACTTGCCTCTACCAGGCTTGCTCC